AGTTTTTCCTTATGTTGAGCATAAATCTGTAACTTCCACGCATTGTTCAATCTAATCCCTCTTCTATATAAAATCCTCCAAATAGTTGACCATAATGAATTATGCATCCCTTCCACCCCTAAGCTAAATGTACCCACTTCTTTCAAATGATCCTTCTATTTTCTAGTCTTTGTATTATCTTGGTCACTTTCTTCCAGACGTGCTCCAGCCTAAGTCTTTCCTAAAATATGTCCAAAACTAAAATGTGATATGGTTGAATGAGCACTAGATTTGAGGCCAAAGGTCTTGGAGTCAAATTCTACCTGTTATTTACAACGTGAGTGACTGTGGACAATTAACTGAGTCTCTCTGGCCCTCAGTTTTTCTCATCTATAAAATCTCTAAGGTCTCTTCAAGTTCTAAATCTACAATCCTAGATCCGAGACCTGATTTCAAATTAGGTAAAAATAAAAAGTGGTAGTATCAATATAGATAAGTAGGGAAACTACCTTTTTAAAAAGACACCACACACAATGAAATGACAAAGATACTAAATATATCTGTGCCAAATGGCACAATAACTATGTTCTTAAAACAAAGGCTAGGTGAACTAGAAAAATACACTAGCAGTAACACAATAACAAGAAGGGTTTAATATTTCTCCCTTAAGATATGGATAAATCCAACAAAAGGTAAAACAAGAAAGAAAATACAGAACTGAATAAATTGTTGGGAAAAAGTAGATTTGATTGACCTGTAATGACTGGCAAATAAGAATATTAAAGAATATGTTTCTCAATATTCCCTAAAACCTTTACAAGAACTGATCATATACCAGTATAAGCAAATGTAAAAGAGGCAGAAACATACCCTTTCTAGATAATAACAAAATAAAATAATAAGGAATAAAAGAAACATGAACAAAATATATAGACCTAAATGAAGACCAAGCGATGATATTACGAAAGAACAAATCATAGGAACAATAAATATTGATGCTAAAGATAATGATGATGCAATATATCAAAGTTATGGGACACAATGCAGTCCTCAAAGTTAATTCACTTCTTGGAAACTTCTTATTAATAAAATGGAAAAAAGAAAGGATAAAAACTCAGCATTCAAATAAAATTATTAAAAAACAAGTCAGGAATGAATATAACAAAAGAATTCTGAAAATTAGAGAAATAAGAAACTTGAAAAGAGATACAGAACTATAAATGAGCTATTTTAAGAGAATAGTAAAATAAAAAGCCATTAGTTAACAAAAAGAAAACCATATCAAAATAATGAAAAAGTTCAATTTACAGAAGAAATAAAGAGAATTACCAGAAAATACTATAAGTAATTATATGACAGCAAAATTGGGAATTCAAAGAAATCTGAAGATTATTTACTAAGACACAAAATATCCAAACTAACAAAACAGAAAATAGAGATCGTAATCAATCCAAAGAGAAAAGAAATCAAGTCACGAATAAACAAGTCACAAATGAAAAAAACCTCTGGGCCTGATGGATTTACAAATGAATTCTATCAAACAATGAAAAAGCCATTAATATATTCTATTCTACAAACATTTTTCTTAAATATTGAGACAGAAAGTACTCTAAAATAAATATTATTTCAATACCAAAACCGGGAAGAGTCAAAGGTATAAAAGAGTACAATAACTCACTAATCAATACTGATGCAAATATTTAAAACAAAATCTTCACAAGACTACAGTAATAGATCTAGAAAGTCATCTACTGTGAGCAAATAGGATTTATACCATGCATGCAAAGATGGTTCAATATTAGAAAAATAATTAGCATGATTAATCATATAAACAAGAAAAAACAAAAATGATTATTTCAATAGATGTGGAAAAGGCCTTTAACAAAATGCAACAGTCATTTATGTTAGTCATTTTAAAAGCATAAGCACGGAACAGCCTTTCTTTAATATCATCAAAAGCATATATTTAAAACTGAAAGCTAGCCTTGCTTACAATTGAAAAACACTGGAATCTTTCTAAGTACAAAGATGCGTAAAGGCAAGGACAACTCCCTCTCTTTACTATTTTTTGGCATAGTTTTAAAAATGCTTACTATAGCAACAAAAGAAAAAAAAATTAAAGGCATAAGCATTGGCATGGAGGAGAATCTAATTTGTAGATGATATGATACTATACTTAGAAAACCACTGAATCAATGAACAAAATAAATGGGAAAACTAATATCATTATTAAAGTAATGGAGCAGCATACAAAATAATTAAAAAATCATCAACATTGCTATACAGTATTAACAAAATCCTAGAAAAAACAATTTGAGAAATTTCATTCAAACAGTTACAAAATACATAAAACATCTGGGAATTAACCTATCAAGACAAATACAAGATTTATATAAATACAGCTACAAAAAGCTCTTTACAGAAAGATAGACTTAAATTTTTGAGAATATTCACTCCTTATTACTGAGTCATGATAATATAATTAAAAAAGTGATAAAATTACTTTACAGATTGAGTGCTACGACAATAAAATTGCCTAGGGGGTACATTACTGAACTAGACAATGGACTGACAAAATTCCTTTGGAAAAAGAAAAGGTCTGGAATCTCAAGGCATACAATGAAAGGAGAGGAGTGTAGGAAAGAATGAAAGAAGCATAGTGTTATCAGACCTCAAAGTGTATTACAAGGCAGTAGTCAACAAGTCTATTGGATACTGAATTAAAAAGCAAAAAAGTAGATTAATGGAACAAAGTAAATAAGCAAGAATCAGATACAATAAAAAAAAGTACCCTAGTGTTTAATAAACTCAAGAATATAAATTACTGATGGAAAGAATTCCTTTTGACAAGAACTTCAGGGAAAACGGGAAAACAACGAGCAGAACTTAAGTTTAGTTCAACATCTTATACAATATGTTGCAATAAATTCAAAATGGCTATGTGAACTGAAAATATGAAATCATAGAAAATTAGAAGAGAACAAGAAGAGGTACCTCTCAAAACAACGGCTGGAGGAAGAACTCAACCAAATAAGGGACAAAGGAGACAAGAAAAGATTAAATAGACAATTTTGTTTTTGGAAAAAAAAAACAACAAAACAAAAAAAAACTTTTGTATGCAAACAGAAAATCAATGAAGATAAAATAAGAAGAAAAATTCCGGAGCAGAAAAAATACTTGTATCAAATGTTACCAATAAAAGTTTGATTTCTAAGAGATGTAATGACATAAATACTGTTATCAAGAACCACTGGCCCAATAAATGTGTCAAAGTAAACAAAAAATTTCTGAAATTGTTACAAACTATACAATGTTACAAACTATAAAATGATCATTTTTAGTCATGCTCTAAATCATCAGAAACACAAATTGAAACAATTCTGATAGTCTCCTTGCAAAGCGGCAAAGATGACATACAGTCAACGTTAGATTGGCTATAAGAAGACAAAATTGTTGGTGGAGCTGTGAACTGGTTCAAATGTTCCATAAGGCAATCTGAAACTATGCGAGAAAGCTGACTGTGGATGATCCCTGTGACCCAGAAATATTACTACAGAACATATGTACCAAGGAAGCTAAAGACAGAAAATAAAGGTCCATTATAAACCAAAATACTCTTAGCAGCATTCTTTGTGGTAGCAAAGAACTGGAAACAATGTAGGTGCCGACAGATTGGAGAATGACTGAAAGAATTATGATATATTAATGCAATAGTGTTACTGTGTCATAAAAAATAAGGACAATGAGGAATTTAGAGAAACAAGATTTATATGAACTAAATCACTACAACAAAGTCGATGAAAATATTACTAAAAGATGAACTCTAGGTAACTGAAAAACTAATGAGGTCCTGAGGAACCAAAAATGAAATATACTTCTTTCTTCACAGCAGAGGGACAGTCTACTAGGGGAGAATACTACATATGTATTAGATCTGGTCATGCTAGTACTGGATATTTTAGCTTAATTTTTTTCTTCATTACATGGGAGGGTTCAGTTTAGTGAGTTGGGGGAGAGTTTTATTTTCTTCCAGAAATGACTGTAACATAAAAACAAAAAGTAGTAACAAAATGGAATTTTTTTAAAGAAGAAATATGGAATGACCAAAGAAATAGACAGAGTATGTAATACTTGCCACCTCACTCCCAGCAAGGGTACTCTCTATATGTTTTATTTTACTATTTTTAATATTATATCTTAAATGCTTTGTATATATTTTATATTTACTTATCTGTGTACATGTTTCTCTCTCCTTCTGGAGGGCAAATGCTGTTTTTTATTTTTGTAGCCCGAGTGCCTAGTTGCATGTAGCAAGCACTTAACAACTGTTGAACTGACCCTGGTGACTGACTGCCTAGATTTAAATACCAGTAAAAGTATCAAACACGAGAGAAAGTGTCTTGGATGCTGAGCCTGAAACTTAACCTTACAAAATAATGATAATCTTGTACTCGGTTCTTTGCATTTTTGACATTATAAATTCCTTTTCTTTTCCTTAAAACTAGTGGAATAACTTCTAAAAGACATAAAAATACTAAACACTGATACAAATCAAAAGACTTCTGAAACACAGAAGGCCTTCAACGACAGGTAAGAAATATATCAACAAACAAACTTCAACTACAACATCCAATAAAAAAGATGAATAGCCAAACTTCCCCATCTCTTCCTAAAAAAAGTAACACCAGATTCATAAAAACTAATTTAACAAGCATCTGAGAATGAAGGACAGAGTTTGGCTAATTTACCAAAATAACAATGTGAAAAAACACTAAGCTGTTATTATAGGCTGATAATAATAACTATTATTATCATTATAGTAACTTACTTAACTGTTAACTATCATCATTCAGAAACAGCCTGTTTCATTGGCCAGGTCTCTTTAGATTTACTTTCTGAACAATACGCCCAACATCCAGGCTGCTACTTCATTATTCCTAATTCAGTGATGTCTTTGGTGGTACTGACAAGTGTCCCATTTGAGACTAAGAGCTTCTCCAATTAAGGGAGCAGAGACATACTTTCCTCAGGATCCTCATGCACATGAGAAGCTCCTCCAGGAAGCTCCTGCACAGCAGCTCTGGACGCTGGTGTAGAATGGTGGTGCCCCAGATTACGATCCCTTTGAGCTTCCCACTCTTCGTTGAAACCGCCATCATCACTTTCAGTAACACTGCTGGAGTTCTGGTTTACTGGGGCTTTGGGAGAAATGGCAGCAAAGATTAATACAGCTCTAGTGTTTATGACACGTTCTCAGGTTGGTGAAGGCAACTACTTGGTAAGAGTCGTCAACTTCTGTTCTCAATTGGCACCTAAGCGTAGGCAGGCTACAGTACAAGAAGACTACTTCTTATGACTTTTAAAACACAACTTGTAAATAAATACAAATGTTTTCCTATTAACATTTATCAACACACTTCTGGTTCAAGTTTCTTCCTATACAGATGAAGCTGACCTGACTGGAACCTGACTTAGAGATTAAATAAATCCATGAATCCAAGAGGCATTGTTATCTTAAGAAGAAAATGCAAATAAAGGCTGGATTAGACTAAATTATGAATTTCATGAGGGCAGAGAGCACAGATATCTCTTTATCGTCCCCAGTTACTATGCATTGTACATAAATGAATAACTGAATGAATAATCAATATCCCTGTGGCTTTTATTAAACTCTATATATTAAAGTGAGACTGTCATGGGATAATAATGAGATTTACATGGCATAATTTAAAAGAGAACTTCTTTGCCACTTTATCAGTGATGCTGGTAAGCTTAATTAAAGCCATGGCCACAAAGACAGGAAAAGAGGAGAATAAAAAGAAAACCTAATTTTGTGCGTGCGTGCGTGTGTGTGTTTAAAGCTTCCAGACCTGCACACATACAGCCCAAGGCAACTGGCATGGGTAGCCTCTTACCTTTCTTTTTTGCGTATTTCCTCTCTGTTAAGTTGCTCTGCTCTTTCTCAATCTGGACCCACAGAATGATTAGGGAAGGTCTGAAAATAGTCATTGGCTCATGGTGGAAAATGTTTATGGGAGCCAAGTAACTATAAAAACTGACTTCAAATAATTTTTATAAGTGTGCACATCTCTGGATGTAAGGATGAATCAGAGTTATTTATGGGCACTAATCTATTTCTTGTCAAAGCTAACTTAGTGGTTATTTGATAACATACTTCTGAAATATGTCTATCACATTATAGTGTTTGGAACCGTCTATGTAGGTCAAAGTGATTAAAAATAACTACATGGTAGATATTCTAGAAGACATGTATATTTATAGGTTGTGTCTGATTTTACCTGATAAAGAAAAGAATTTTCCCCCCTCCCTAACTCTTATTTATTAGATAATTCTTATCCTTCTATTTGAGCATTACACCACTTCTCTTCAGCTGATCCAGAAAATGTCTATACTGGGGAAAATGCTGCTTAAATGTAACCATGAAAATCACCAATATGCATTATTTAATACTCAGTATAAATAAGATGTACTTCCTTCCTGACAGTAGAAATATAAGTAAAAGTGAAAAGGAATAATAATCAATTTTATAATAAGAGAGAATCCAAGATTCCTCCAAAAATTTGGTCCCCCAATTATTTTTGCCAAAGGAATTCAATCTAGCTGTGTGACCCTGGGCAAGTCACTTAAACCTGTTTGCTTCATTTTCCTCATTTGTAAAATGAGAAGGAAATGGCAAACCCCTCCAGTATCTTTGCCAAGAAAACCCCAAATGGGGTCACGGAAAGTTGGACACAACTGAAAAAATGACTGACAGAAAGATCTCAGGGGGGCTGCTAGGTGGCGCAGTGGATAGAGCACTGGCCCTGGATTCAGGAGGACCTGAGTTCAAATCTGGCCTCAGACACATCACACTTACTAGCTGTGTGACTCTGGGCAAGTCACTTAATCCCACTGCCTAGCCAAAAAAAAAAAAAAAAAGATCTCAGGGTATATACAGGAAAATTACTGTAAGTATCACTTCCACTCTCCTTAACTCTAGCTCAATGTCAGGACGCTCGCCTTTAGCAATCTTGTTTACTAAGGAACAAGGACTTAAGACCCAAATAGATATGAGTTCCAGATCAGAAATGCTCTCTCCAGTCACTTGAAACATGACTTAGAATTTCCTAAGATTATCCCCAAAGAATTTCCCTGAGCTATTATCTCTCTTTCCTGGTATACATGTCTTCTTTTTTGATACTTTAAAAAGGTAGGACCTTTAAAAACTTTGTGGCCACATATTTCACTTCAATTTTTCCCAATACTGGCATATTGTTCTGCCATAAGATGACAGTATAAGTAGAAAACTAGAAAAGCTAGGAAAAAATGAATATGTAAACAAAAGTCTCTCCTACTTTGTGCGTTGTAGTTAGAATTTTTGGAAACTCTCCTTTGGGCTTCTGGGTCTCCTTCTGCCATGTTCACCAACCACACCATTGTCGCTGTTGGAAAAAGATGAAAGTCCAGGTAAACATTTCAAACAAAGAAGACATGAGCAGACATCAAGGCACCATTTTGCTACTGAAATCACCAATTTTCTTTCATCAAATCACCTCCAAAATCTCTTTAGGAAATACTTAAGGAACTATGGGTGGTGACTTTTTAAAAGCAGAAAAAAAGTTCTCTTCAGTCAGGCAGAGAAATAAGTCTCTGACATTGAACATTTTGTTGTGGCATTCAAATGGCATTTAATAATGTTGTTTTATCATGTCTGAATTCTCTGAAAATTACCAGGAAAACTAGAGAATTGCAATTGGTTGGACTTGTTGACTGGGCCCTAAAATAGTTTTTACTCATTGGCAAGTTGACTCTTCCGAATTATACCTCAAGGGAAAACTAGCTTCACAAAAGCCTAAGCTGATGAAAAGCATTACAGAAGAAATTTACACTCTAAGTTTCCTTCATATTCCATGTAATGCCAAGCTTCTTTAATAATGCCCAACTGTGTTGTGGACAAAGTTAAAAAAAAAAAAAGAGAGATGGTTAAAAGCAGTGTACACAAATGTAAGTATCAGGTTAAAATAGTTAAAATTCCATTTAGAGAAGAGTAAATTGTCATCTTCTTGGTCCCAAATAAAATTTTAATATAACAACCACATGTTTTTGTTCATGGAAATCACACACAACCTTGGGTTAATCACTTTATCTCCAAGGGTCTGGGTTTCATTATCTATAAAATGAAGGTGTTGACAATGAATTCCAAAGTCCCTTTCAACTCTAAAATCCTCTGAATGATTTTATAGAATGGTTCCAGGTTTTTACAGCCAGTACCACTGAATCATAACCAAATTTTCAGTTTGATATTTCTGAAAATTTTAAACCCTCAACCACTGGAATGTAGTTATCTTCTCATTTTGGTCCTTTTCTATTCTTTGTACATAACTTGATAGCTACATAAAGGTCAGTGGCTGTTACATCTGCTGTTAAACGGGAGTGATAAAAATATGATTTTGGGTCTGATTCCTGTTACTCAGCTGGCTTTAGTCTGTTCCATGGCTGTTCCACATTGCATCTTTAACTACATCCAACAAGTTACCTCACAAATGTGTGCTGCTGGTTACAAGGAAATCAGACAAAAAAAATAAAATATTAGAGCCAAAAGGGACCTTACAGGTCCATCTAGTTTATTCTTCTTATTAAGAAAGTAAAAAGGGGGCAGCTACGTGGCGCAATGGATAGAGCACCGGCCCTGGATTAAGGAGGATCTGAGTTCAAATCTGGCCTCAGACACATAACACTTACTAGCTGTGTGACTCTGGGCAAGTCACTTAACCCCCATTCCCAACCAAAAAACAAAAAACAAAACACGAAAAAAAAAAAAGAGAGAAAGCAAAAAGATCTGATCAAGATCATTTCACCTCATATGGATCAGTGCAAAGTCATTACTACTAAAAAGCATATGTTGCTGACCAATCTTAAGAAAAACATCTACCTTAAAGTATTTCAAAAATACCAGCTACTATTATTAAATATAACACAAACATATAGGAAAAAATAATTAGAAAAATAATTTGCTATAGGTACAATGACCATGAATATAGTGAGTTCCTCTTCCTCCTCCAAGGCATGTACCACTACAGCTAGGAAGTGAGCACCAGCAGCAATCTGCCTCTTCCAGACACAGTCAGGGGCTTTAAACAAAGCTCCCCAAGAGCTGTGTCTGGTACTTTAGATGGGAGGCACATGATTCAGATTCCACATGTACTTTTTGAGGGGATCGGACCCAGAATTCCATTGGTGCAGGACCATCTTAGTGGAGAGACTCCTTTGACCAGTATAGAGTATATTCCCTGCTCTCTAATTATTGTCTCAGAATGTTCTTGGAGCATAGAGAAGAGAAGATATTTGCCTTAGCTCCCACAGCTCCCACAGCCAGTGTCAGAGATGGGATACAAACCCAGGTCTTCCTGACTCCAAAGCCAGCTTTCTTATCTACTATGCAACATAACCACTCTACACTACTTGTAATAATCATTTAAAAAAAACTAAGTTTCTTGAAAAAAAGTTATCAAAGAAAGCTGACAACTGAAGACAGCACTTTGCTTATCGTTCTCTGACGTTCCTACCTCTTATTAAATTAATATTACAACAACTTACATAGCATTATAGTTATTTTGTATGCCATACTCTACTCCCCACTAGACCATGAGCTTTTATCAAGGCAGGTATCATGCCTTAGCTAAACTCTCTCCCTCAACAACTAGTACAATTCTCTGCACACCATAGGCAGTTACAGTGTGTTTAACAGGTGAATATGAACCAGCTAAACACCCTGGTGGCATCATAAAATAACCCAGAAAGTTACTGACCAAAGGGCAGAATAACAAGATAATAAAAAAGAATAACAATAAGGCAGACAAGAAGTGGCTAAAAAGAGAGAGAATGGAAAGGAAAACAAAAATTACTATGCTCAGAAGTATATAAATTTCTCTAGATCTGATGAAGGCATTTGAGATTTGTAAGACTTTCTCAACATTTTCATGTGTATTATGGATGGGAATATGCTTCTATTATCAATATATGAGAAAACACCCTTTTGGAGTCTTTTTTTTTTCTAGTATGATACTCCTCCTACTCACACTCCATTGGCTATTATGTCCAGGAAAAGATAAAAACTCTTTTGGCACTTAAACACCTTTCCCACCCAATCTGGTTCCAGCTGACCTTTCTAGTCTTATTATACATTATTTCTCTATAGATCAGCCAGACTGATCAGCTGAGGCAGCTAGGTGGCACAGCAGATACAGCACTGGGCCTACAGCCAGGAAGACTTGAGTTCAAATACAAACTCAAACGCTTACTAAATATGGGATCATGGCTAAATCACAACCTCTGTCTCTCCCAGGGTTGTTGTAAGGATCAAATGAGAAATTTATAAAGTGCTTACTTAGTGCAGTGCCTGGCACATAGTAAGCACTTAATAGATGCTTGATCCCTTCCTCTTCCTTTCCCTTTTTGTTGCTCTTCATACAACACTTCCACCTGACATCACTGTGTCTTTGCACAGGCTCTCCCTCCCTCATGCCTAGAATGCACTTTTTCCTCACGCCCAACTCTTACAATCTCTAGTTTCCTTCAAAACTCAGCTCAAACTACCTCCTTTATGAGTCTTTTCTTAATCACCCGCATATACTAGTGCCCCCTCTTGCACACCCAATTATATTTTACTAATTTTGTATATTTTGTAGTTTATGCATGTGTACATGTTGTTTCTCTCCTGTAGAATATAAACTCCTTGAGGGCCAGGACTATTGCACTTATGTCTTTGATCCCACCATCTTACACAGTGCCTGGCACACAGACAACACTTCTTAAAAACTTGTTCATTGATTAACAGAGCAGGTTATTATGAAACAAACAAACTAAAAGCTCATAAAAGTGATTTTGTTATGGAGTTTTAAAAGCTGTTCATTCATTTGGAGGAATGGGATGGCGATCTCCAGGAGTCACATAAAGTGATGGTGCAGCAAAGGAATAGTACCGTGGCATGTTGGGAAAGTGTAATGTCTTTGCTGTCAGAAAACCGAAGTTTAAATTCTGACTTGTTACTTATTATTTCAGTGACCCCTGAAAAGTCAAAAGTGAATATTTTTTAAAGCAGCTAACTAAGAATGAAACTAATTAAAACACTTTTGGATGAATGTTTATTAACATCAATGAAAAGTGTTAATAATGTTGTCTTCTTATATTCTGCCAGAAAAAAAATCTGACCGCCAATGGTTTGTAAAACTGTCGTGTGACACAGATTTGGCAGTCTAGGAGAAAAAAGGCTTTTTTTTAACTCATATTCAAACATGCCTGACAAAGTGAAATTTTCTGTTCAAATTTTTTCAAATAAGTTGAGGTTGTTCCAACATGTCAGTATTATCCTGATATCTTTTCACAGATTTGAAACAAACTAAAAATATATGTTTGTGTATGATTTATTTTAATGCCTAGAAATATCCTAAGTGAGGTTCATATCCTAGCAGAAATATAATCAGTAGCCCCCAGAATCAGCCATTTCCTGTAAAAATGAAAACAAGCATATCCTTTACAGGAAGGACATGATTTAAAAGCAAAAGACAAATTTTTGCACTCCCCATAATGGTGGTCCTAAATCTTTGCCACTCAAGCCCCTAATGCAACTGCATGTGTTTTCAAATGATCTTAATTCCAACCTGATTAATAGCAATGGAATGTAAGTTCTCTCAGTGTCCTACCTCTCACACTTCAAAAATTATTTCTACCTTACCTATCTTTCTTTTCTCTCCTTCTGAGGAAGAAGTAACGTTCCTCCTTTTCAGGACTAATTTCTTCATCTGGTGAGCCAAAGATTCACTCTCCACTTGCCTCCTCTAGGGCCCTGCTCCATTAAATTATCCCCAGTTTGTCTGGTATTTTCAATAATTTCCTCTCTAATGGATCTTTTCTTCTGCCCACAAATGTAATATACTCAAGTCTCACTCACACTTAAGTACAAACCTTCCTTTCAAGCTTGATGCCCCTTCCAACTATCATTACATCCCTCTCCTTCCCTTCACTGCCAAATTTCTTGAATGGCAAAATCTATACCCGTTCTTTGACTTCCATCCACTGATTGCTTAACCTCTTGTAATATATGCTTCTATCTATACCACTGAACCTTCCTAACTACCAATTCAATGGTCTCTTGTTAGTCCTTATCCTCCTTGACTTTTCCATAACATCTTACTGAGTTCATCCTTCTTCTCTTTCCTCAAACACACTCCCTCACTGGGTTTCTATGATATTCATTACTGTGGCATTTGGAGCAAATAAGTTGCACTGAGGATGGTGGGAGTCGGGAGAGGCAGTGTCTGAGAGAACCTCTGACCACTCCTATGAGAGAGTTTGAGGTGGTGGAAGCTAGGTTACTCTAAGGAGGTAAGCTAGGTCAAAGAAGACTGTAAGTCAAGGACTGACCTTATTGGGAAAGAAAGCATGGCTTGGAGGTTGACAGATGACGGTAACAAATATCCATATAGGACGGAGTGACTGTATAAGGAGAAGTTGATGTTAAGTGTTGGTGGGTCTAAAAATGGTAACCAAATACCAAGGAGTATGACAATTCCCTTTCTTGGTCCTAATTAGGGGGTGAGATGTTACTAGTAGAGTAACATCAGAAAAGCATGTATACATATTCACATGATACCATTCTACTACCAACTTTTTATGAAGTAGCTTACGTAGCATTGTTTCCTTTTTAAAGAAAACTTCATTTAAGCAAGAAAGATGCCCACTTCAACAAAGGATGAAATGAAAGGACAGAATCCAGGATAATACATCTAGAGTTAGACGGGACCTGGGAGGTCATCTAGTCCAATCTCCTCATTTTATGGATGCAGAAACTGAAGGCCAGCGAGGAAAAATGAAATACGTGTTACCTTCAGGTCACACAACTAGTAAAGTAGGACAGTCAGAATTCAAATTCAGGTCTTCTGACGCCAAATCCAATGATCTATTCAGTGGACCACGACAGAAGGTTCTTGGGAGCACAGAAGAGAGGACGGAGAAGTGGCTTGAGGGAAGGCCGGGGCTAAGCTTATTATTTATTATTATATTATATTATTATATTATTTATTATCAGCTAGGAGAAGGGCACTGGGCAAGCAGTAACTTGTCTTTGCCAAGGATTCTGCACTGTCTCTCATGGAGCAGACTTTCAAGACTCAGTATGGGGGCAATCAGGTAGCACAGTGGACAGAGCACTCAGGAGGACCAGAGTTCAAATGCGGACTCAGACACTTGACACTTACTAGCTCTATGACCCTGGGCAAGTCACTTAACCCTGACTGCCTCACCAAAAAAAAAAGAAAAAAAAGGAAAAAAAAAAGACAGTACAAATCCTAACCTGTATAAGAGGCTTTTCACTGTCTCCTACTTCCACTGCTCATGCTTTCTCTTCAAGATTACTTCCCATTTACACCTTATGTATTATGTCCATACATAGTTGTTTACATACTGTCTCCCTCATTACAATGGGAGCTCCTTGAGGGAATGGGCCATATTTCTGCCTTTCTTTGTATCCCAAGTTCTTAGCACAGTGTATGGCATATACTAAGTGCTAAATAAATGTCTGCTGACTGACTGAATGACTAGGTATGAAGGAAGAGTGGCTCACAGGATGGAGGTGGGGAGAAGGAATCCTCTCCATGCCAGTAAAAAGACACCCCAAGAGGCAAGGCTAATGGCCATAGGATGCTGGGGGAAGAGGAAAGGGGAAAGCACAGGACAAGAGGAAGAGGTGGTAAAGGATCAGGCTGGCACCACCAAAGAGGGATGGGAAGCACAACCTCTGCCCAGGAAGAAAGAACTGTATCTGTTGGAGCTATGGCATGAGAGTTATTGCTCTGGTTGCAAAATCTTTTTCTGTCTCTACAACTTTCATCATTTATTTCTCTTCCTTTCCATTCACACAGTCAGCCTCTCATCACCTCTCACCTGGATTATTGCAATAAACTAAGCCATCTTTTGCCTCATTTCTTACCTAGCTTTAAATCACTGAATGGGTGTTGCCTCAGATAAACTGAGACCTGGGAAAGACCTTAACTTAAAAAGACCAAGGTTTCCGACCGCATCCAGGGCCATCTCCAGTCATCCTGATCTATATCTTGCCACTGGACCTAGATGGCTTCAGTGAAGAGAGTGAGGCTGGTGACTCTGCATAGCCCTGCCTCATTTAAATCCAATTCACTTGCAAGTCATGATGTCACGGTCTTCTTTGAGTACAAAGGATGAACAACAACAGCCTTAATTGCATTGTACTAGTTCTGGATCTGACTCCAACCTAAGCCTATACATATTGCCAGAGTAATCCTTTTAGAGGATATCTGACCGTATTTATTTTCATGCTTTGAAAAAATTCAATGACTACAATATAAAGCCTAAATTCAACTGAACTACACTCCCTCCCGGATTTCAGGCCATAATCTTAAGACTGGCTATCAGATCATCTAATCCAATTTCCAATTTTACAAGTGAGGAAACTGAGTCATGGAGCAGTGACTTGACTCACCCAAGGTCACACAGATAATAAGTAATAAAGCCTACACCTCATGCCCACAAATCCAGTACTCTTTCTATGCCATCTCCTAAATAAATCACCATTAGGTCAAGGACCTAACTGTGCAAGAAAGAAAGGGATCAGCAAACAAAACTACAAGTTAAAAGTTGAAGAGATCATTGTGATGATTATAACTGGATTTCTTTGGTCTCTCAACGGTTAAACAGGTGATTACTAACTCAAAAGTCTTTGCAAAATACTTACAGGAGTAAATAAGAGCTGGGAAGAGAGTTTCATTTCTTTCCTGAGCTGTTTCAACGAGCATACGTAGTGGACCTTTTGGACACAAAACTGCTACCAAATCTGGAAAAAAGAAAAAAAAAAAAACAGAAAAAATACCATGAACCACACTGGCTATGATTTGGGGTAGGTTGTGGGGAGAGGGGAAAACCTTGGTAAGATATCTTAGTGTCTCTTAATAGAATGTGAAGGTCAGAGGTAAAAATGACCCCCTAATAAACAATCAGTAATAGAGTATCTATAAATGTTGTTTGGGGGCTGACTTCATGCTTAATCTATAGTATGCCAAATCAGTTGGATTCTATGAATAAACCTTCCCATCTTGTAAGAAAAAGATAATGATAACAAGATGAATCCATTCTCCAAAAACTGTCAATGTGCTATAAATAGAAATAGGCCACCAAGCTGTTTCTCACAAAAAAAAAAAATCAAACATATAAGCTGTAAATATGGGACTGATGTCCTTTAAAAAGTCTAATGAGAAGGGTTTTGATTGAGATTTCAAGACTGAGATTTCAAGATTTCAAGAACAGAATAAAGTAGATTAGTCCTTATTCCTTTTTTTTCTAATATTATATATGAACTTAAGGATCTTGAAATTAGAGAAATTGCACATAATGAAGTGTTACTATTTCTATAGCTAGCTGATCAGTAGAACATAAAAGACTTTAGTGAATGAACTGAAGCACTGATTAAACACTTACTCTGTGCCTCAAGCACTGTGGTAAGTGCTGGGGACACAAATACAAAATGGTGGACAGTAAGCTCAAGAAGTTTACATTCTGATGTGGGAGATAACACAGAGATGGAGGTTCTGGCCAACAAAGGAAGTTATGGTCTGGGAGGTAAAGATGTCAAGTGGGGTAACAGGATAGATGGTCTGGGAGGTAAAGATGTCAAATGGGATAACAGGATAGTCAACTGACACACCTTCCACAGAATGAGGTTCTCATAAAAAGTATATGAGCCCAATGTCAAATAATAGTAAATTTCTATACAAAGTTATCCAGCTATTAAATAGTAATGGATGCCTCACCAAAAAAAGAAAAAAAAAAAAGAAAAAAGGGGGGACAGCAACTAGGTGGCGCAGTGGATAGAGCACTGGCCCTGGAGTTAAGAGGACCTGGGTTCAAATCCAGCCTCAGACACATAATACTCAGCTGTGTGACTCTGGGCAAGTCACTTAACTCCAATTGCCTCACCAAAAAAGAAAAAAACAAACCCTAAAACAATAGTAAGGAGCAAAATTTTCACAATTCATTCCAAACCATTATACTATTCTCTATATTTCCTCAATGTGATTCAAAATTCAGAGCATGAAAATTTATGCTAAATAATTTTTTTTAAAATAAAGTTCAAAATATCTAGAGGAGGGGTGGAAAACATATTAAGAGATCTTGTGCTTTGGAGAATCAGCTAACTCCTCAGGCAAGAAAAAAAAAATCCCCACATTTTCCCATTTTCAGCACAATTTATTATTTGATAAAGGAAAAGAGGTTTGTCCCACTCCAAAAAGCAGCCCTTTCTAGATTTCTATGAAGCTATACTACCAGGTGAGTGATGACTTTAATTTTTAAATGAAACTATACTAAAATTAGTGTTGGCTTAAGAATTTGAGAATTTCTTGACATTCTTTGTGCTGACTTAATAGTTTAAAAACAAAAGCAGGGGTGAGAAGCCCTGCTCTAACCCTTAAGTATCTTTTTTTTTTTCCCAGAAGCTCAAAGCACTTCACAAAAGAGGAAGATAAATTGCAAAGGATAATATTACCACACCAAAGTAGGAAGGCAAAGGGAGTGTAAGATCTCCCAACTATACCAAAGATGCCTTAAATATGAGGATGAAAATGACAGATCTTACTTTCAAGTCCAATTCCATTTCTGCAAATCTATCCTGTGTCTGAGTGCAAGAATAATGTAGTTTGGAATAACCAAATTCTTTCATAATAAAATAGGGGAGGCACTGTGATATGAGTGGTACGTAAGTGATCAGCACTGGAACAGTAAACGGAAAGGCACCGTGTTATCATAAAATATATGCCCTATTCACGTGGTTAGAAAGAGCAGCATTGTTGAAATGGGCATCTTTCTTGTCTAAATGAGGTCTTTTAAAAAGAAACAATGTAGAGTAATATCAGAGCAGCTTATTCTATTAAATATCATCTGGGTAAAATTTGCCAAAGCGATAAAATGGTATTTCTATAGAACCTTTCTTATAAAGATTTAAAAATCTTTACACACTATAAAGGCTCTCACTTTCAGGGTTGGCAACATTATAGTCTAGATATGGCACAACAATTTGCATTCTCTCAATCTCTAGTTTTTACATCTAGCATGTGAACTGAGTTTTCATCACCAATAATATTAAAGAAAATTAATATTTACTGAACAATCATGGCATAAAGCTAATAGGGAAAGAAATTATGATTTCATCAGCATGGGAACTTCCTCCACTGAAGTAGGCTGCAATCTGATTATAACTTAGTGGATAAGTCTTAGATAAATACCTGAGGCTCAGAGAAGTTAAGTGACCAGCCCATGGTCACAGTGTGTCATTTTTGTCCCTAAATCAAAATTATAAAACAGAAGGAGGATAGAACAAATCAAAGCGGAATCATCATAATTAAAGGAGCAGTATGTTTTTATAAAACTTTACCATATATTGAAATGACAGCCAAGATGAGCCATGCAGTCCATTCAGGAAGGTACTTTATGAATACCAGAGCCATGAGGGCACTGATCATAATGAGATAAGCCTGCTGGAGCCGAAGGGGGCCTTTCCAGTGGATACAAATCATTCCTACCACGCCAAAATTCCAGATCACGAGTGCCAGAGTGATATAGTCCATGGCAACATTGTAGGTTTTAAATACTTCACTGAAAAGCAGAGTTAAAAACAAAGGGGCTAGAACAAAGATGTACTGAAAAATTGAAGAAAACAAAACACAACCACTTCCTAGAGGTAGAGCATAACATTATGAGATCAGACCTAAAAGACCACTTATAGCTTCACTATTTTTTAAAATCCAGACCTGTGATTTCATCAGTGTTGGATCATCCCACTGTGAAAATTGCCTCCATCATACAGGTTGGCAACATGTATGCAATTATACTCTTAGTTGCCTAGAGTATCAAGAGATCAAGTGATTTGTCTACATAAATTTGTCACTAAATGATTCTGTGCCAAAGGCAGAAGTTGACCCCAAGACTTCCCAACTCCCAAGCCTGTACTCTTCTCATTCTACCACACTGCCTCCAGGTTTCATTAGGGTAGTAACGTTCTAGCAGAAAATTCCTCCAAGCTACATCAGAGTTCATTAAAAGCACTTCACAATCTAGGTTTAGCTAACCTTCTGTCAAATCTGTGATGAAATGATAAAAAAGGCCAGGAAAGAGAGACAAACCTCAATCTCCTACTTTCATATTCATTTATTTGCCTGTTAGCTTTATACCGAGCAATCAGCTATAGCACTAGATATTAACATAATGTGTTTGAGCTGCATGCTGGCAATCATGTGAAAACCTATTTTCCAAGAACTTTGTTTCTTGCCCTTTCAGTTACCTGAGGTATCAGTAGAAAGATCAGCAATCACAATGTCAGTCACGCCAGGAGAGGGGTGACTAAACATAATGTCATTCTTGGGTTCTACTGAAGCATTACATTAATTCCCAAAACAGAAGGAAAGGAAAAACTCTACCTCAGAATCTGGCTCCTTGAGGCAAGGCACCATTTGGGAGTTTTTTGCTTATTTGGTTGTAAAGATTGAGTCTCCTTATCTTACCCAAGCTGGAGACACAAGGGCAACTCATAGGTGGTCCCGTTCCAATTAGTGTGGGAGCTGTGACCTTCTCTAGGCTAGTTCACCTTCCTTTGCTAAGCTGCTGGCTCCTCCTGCTCCCAGGGGCTCACCACATTAATACTAAATTTAGGGTAGATACCCAACCAGTTTAGCCCACTGTAGCTTGGACTTTTGAGTTCACAACAACTGCCAGCCTTAGCCTCTTTGGTAGCAAGGATTACAGACACGCACCACCAAATCCAGTCATTTTATCTCTTAAAGTACATAGTACAGCACCTACAAACATAAAGTAATAAATGGGAAAGAGACTACTAAGAACTCACATTTTCACTCCTTCTTTCTAAAAATTTTCTAGGTAGTTTGAGGCTAATCACATCTTGGGATCTATAACCCAGGCTTTAGTCTACTTCCTATTACACAAACTACTGTTGGGGTTGCCCAGGAAGCCTGTCACAATAGCAAAGATCATCCAGCCTTCCAATTTTCGAGTGAATTCGAAAAGCATAACAAATTTGGAAAACAAAGAGTAATCCCTTATAGAACAGTCAAATTAAACTACTAGGGTTTGTTTTTTTTTTCGGTGAGGCAATTGGGGTTAAGTGACTCGCCCAGGGTCACACAGCTAGTTAAGTGTCAAGTGTCTGAGGCCAGATTTGAACTCAGGTCCTCCTGACTCCAAGGCCAGAGCTCTATCCACTGTACTACCTAGCTGCCCCAAGCTAACACTTTAGTAAATATTTTAAAATAGTACAACCAAGCTAGTAGAACCTAAGATTGCATCAGTGTGTCCATTCAAATAAGATGCAGAAAACAGTCAGCAAGGAAGGAACAGCCCCTAGGAACACAGTTATAAACAACCCTACCAATATTCTGAACTTGTTTGTTAGACCTTATAAGGACTCCCTTGATCTGGATATGATCATAATTTAAGTGTAATTGCAAAACAATGTAGATGGGCCTAAGAAAATTCTGCAAGAGCAGACAGGAAATTTCTGAAAAGTATTTAGGCTTCCAGGTACTTACCCCAAATAAATGAATGAGAAAAAGAACAGCAACAAGAGAGAGGAAATTATAAGCCAAGCATGGATCACCTGAAAAAGACAGGAGTTCAGTTTTATCACAGACTAGAAATGTCCATAAAAACTCATATTCATTCTTGCCCCAAAAAAGATCTTAATCAAAGACAGACTTCAAGTATAAAATTGTATATGATGCCTGTAAACTATACCTGGGAAACGGCAGAATTTACAAGTGCTAGAATCAGTGTATATTTGCATATGGTTTTTTGGTGCTGAAGATTTGGCACCAAACACTGGGTTAGTTACATATTAATATTAATAGGACACTCAATGGGACATAAATGGAGAATCTCCCTGGCTCATGCCCTGGAGTTATATTTTTTTCCCTTCATAAATAGGAGAGCTTTAGAAAAGAATTGGTTCTAAGAGAGCAAATCGTTAGTAGAAGATAAAGATATGTATGCTATTAAAACTGACAGTAGTAATGTTTGAAATACAGGAGTGTTATTTTATTTCTGAAATGAGCCCAAGGCATCATTGCAAATCTAAATCAAAGGAACATTCAATAAATGGACTTCTGAGCACTACACATTATTAACAAGGCACGGCAAGTAAGCCATCATGTTGACAAAAAAAGTTTAAAGGCTGAAATCTCATTAAGACTTTCAATACATTGGCAAAGAATTAGAAATTGAGGGGATGCCCATCAGTGGGGAAATGGCTGAACAAGTTGTGGTATATGAATGTAATGGAATACTATTGTGCTATAAGAAATGATGAGCAGGCAGACTTCAGAAAAACCTGGAAAGACTTGTATGGACTGATGCTGAGTGAAGTGAGCAAAACCAGGAGAATACTGTACACAGTAACAGCTACAATGTACGATGACTAACTTTGATAGACTCATTTCTTCTTAGCAATACAAGGACCAAAGACACTCCAAAGTACTCATGATGGAAAATGCTGTCCACATCCAGAAAAAGAACTTTGGAGTCTGAATGCAGATCAATGCATATTATTTGCGGTTTTTTCTTTTTATTTGTTTCTTCTTTCTCGTGGTTTCTCCCATTGGCTCTAATTCTGCTTTACAACATGACTAATGTGAAAATAGGTTCAATATGAATTTATATGTAAAGCCTGTATCAAATTATGCACCATCTTGGAATACGAGGAGGGAAGAGATAGGGAGAAAATTTGAAACTCAGAATCTTATGGAAGTGAATGTAAAAAACTAAAAATAAATAAGTAAATTTAAAAAAAAGACTTTCAATACATGAACTCAGTAACAAGGAGTCATATTAAGAGCTCCACAAAACATGTCTACTAGTTTACTGTCATTGTACAAAATTTCTGGAGCACTCTGCAAAGTACTTTACAAATTACTACTATCTATGTACTCCTTACATTCATGGTAGCATGAAACACAATTTGATTTTTTAATATAATATGGAAGATGAAAAAACTTTTCTCAAAAGAAACATAAATTGATCATACTTGCATAATACAAATCAACAGACCTAGTTAAAATAAATTTTGGGTTTCTCAAAAGTGGAGAAATCAAGAACAAGAGAGAGACAAGAATTGTTAAATAATTTCCAAAGTAAGACCTAAAGTAGAATAGTGGTTACTGCGGGCACTCATTTTTTCAGACTGTAGTTATCTGCTCAGGGTTTGGTTAGATATTTCTGTCGTACTGTACCTAGTGATCACTTTTAATTTCCAAATTGGCCTAGTTCTTAACTAGAGCATTAAAATGTCATGCATCTCCAGGAAAAGGCAGGAGATATGTGAAGAACCATTTCTGTACTTCCATTACTTCATCTATAGCGTGGACATAGACAGTCGCCTGGGGGCAATGAGAAATTAAATGACTTGCCTAAAGTCACAGAACCAGCACTATAAAAGGCAGACACTAAACCCAGGACACCTCCTGATTCCAAAGCCAGCCCCTGATCCACTACTCCACACTGCTGCATTATTACCTTTATTGTAATTAGTGTAATAATTATCAAAATAACAATAATAATTAGCCACCACCCAAAATTTTCAAAGAACTTTTCTACTCTTTTAAAGATACAAATAAACATCTTTAAAAGAACTTACTATTTGCTAAGTGATTTTTGAGGCCTCAGTTTCTTCATCTATAAAAGGAAATATAAATGGCCTCTGAGGTGTTTCCAACTCTAAATTTATAATCTTATGAGAAAGTAATCTTTTTTGGGCTGCTTAGGCAATATTTTCACCTATGCTTACTTTCAGATACAATCCAAGTCACAAGTATATCAACTATGAGAAACACTAAAAATTAAGTTCAATTCATATTCTTCATCGTAAACACTTATTTTATGTATACTAACACAAATCACATTAATATCCATGTAGAGTATTAAGTGATAAATCCACCTCTCTCAAAAGTTGTTTCATTACCATAAGATGCAATTAAAATGGAGAAGACATTTTTATTGCAAGTCAAGTAGTCTTGTTTGCTATGAAATGCAGAAATTCTATTCTCTTCAGAGTTATTTTAATGGGTTTCAGAAAGTTCTAGTCTTAATTTTCAGTTATTTCATGATTCCCTCTTGCTTACTTTACTGAAGGATTTCATTAAATCAATGGCAGCTCTTTTCATTGACTTGTATTTATACAGTAACAGATTCATAAATTACTATATGAAAGAGAAACTGCTTCCCAAATTTAATATGTGTAATTAAGACCAGAAAATCTACAATACTACTTTTGCTCTCCAACTGTTTCTAATAAAGAGAAATGATAGTACTTAAAATGACCTAGTAAAGTTTAAATAATGTGAATAATAAATTATGAATGACTATAATAATAATAAATAATGTGAATAATAGTTTAACAGGGAATAGAAGACAGCATAACCAAATTCAAAACCTTTTATGTCCATGACTTAATAGCACTCTCTTTTGGGATCATAGACAAGGAAAACATTAGTCTCTTAACTTTGTGAAGTTCCCTCAGCTTTCCCACATAATAGGGTATGTATTCACTGTTGCTGGTTTCACAGGAAGGAGCCATTACCCCAACACAAAGAAATAATTCATTCTAACACTCCTTCACTAGCATTCCCTGAAATATTGTTACATTAATAAACTTTTATGACTTCAGTCTGTAAAAAAATGCTTTTTGAACTGAATTGTAAAAAAACTACATGGGATAAATTATCAGTTTTTTTCATATTCCACTTGTTTTCATTTTTGTTAAAGTTCTGTATCTTTCACAAGGACATTACACAACCTTTTCAAATTCTCAAGCATTTACTTAGTGGCTTTCAGAACAGGTCATAGCAAGTTTCTAAACTTCACAGACTCAAATGCTCATACTTCATTTTACAATCCCGCCCACAGTGTTTTGTTTCTCCAAAGTCAATTTTAGTTAATAAAACCTGAACAAAATTAGATACCAACAAGAAAAAAAATGACAAAATAAGCGTGAACTTCTGGCTGTCTACAAATTTTCTTTAAGCAGTCTGAAAATGTGTGAGTTAAAAGAGCAAAACTACAAAAAGAAAAATCAAGATATACCTAGTGTTAAAATCACTATTAGATAAAATAAAATTATTGTTAGTTCAAGGGCTGAAAATCCAGTTAATCAATTATTTGGGTGCCTAGCTGCTTCTCCAGTCTACTTTGGCCATTTTCTTTTTCATTTATATAGCCTCTAAAGCCACAGAGAAATGAAATTTAACTAACCAACTAGTGTTAAAGGAAAAAGTACTGGGCTGGGAGTCAGGAGATATGGATTGAAATCCCAGATGTAGCACATAATAGCCATGTATCTTTAGGAAAGTAAAATCACCTTCCCACGCTTCAGTTTCCTTGTCTACAGAATGAGGTTAGACCAAATGATTTCTAAGTTCTCACCCAGTTATAAAATCTATTATCTGATCCTAGGATCACTTTCTTTTCAAACTTTAACTGGGCAACTCTTGACTGACTTTTCTTTTTTTTCTTTTTAGTGAGGCAATTGGGGTTAAGTGACTTGCCCAGAGTCACACAGCTAGTAAGTGTTATGTGTCTGAGGCCAGATTTGAACTCAGGTCCTCCTGACTCCAGGGCCGGTGCTCTATCCACTGTGCCACCTAGCTGCCCCTTGACTGACTTTTAAAAAAAAATTTTGTATGACAGTGATACTCATGTCCTGCCAGTGAGGTGACAGATGCAAAATGCAGAACAAGGTAAGCATTTTTGGATACAGTCAATGTGAGAATGTGTTTTGCTGGGCTATGCATATTTATTATGAGGATTTTCTTTTTTCTTTGTTGTGCAATTGGGGAGAATGGTTAGTAGAAAGGAGAGACAGAAAATGCTTTAAAAATAATTTTTTTAAAAAAAAAATAGGATATAAACTTGGCCCCAGAGAAGAGATGAGAAGATGTAAATCCCTTCCTTATTTGTAGAGGCAAAGGCAAAGGCCTATGCAAGTGGAACACTGCATATAGTGTTACACTTGCTTGATGTGTTGTTTAATTTTGCTCAACTTCTCCCCCCTCCTTTCTTTTTTAGTCTTTGGTACAAGGAATGCAGGCAGAAAGGGGAATTTTTTCAGAAATGAAGGTGATGTAAAAACAAAAAATGCCCATTTTTCTTTATTAAAAGCTATGAAAGCAGCAGCAAGGGTTGAAATGATTAGCAGAAATGAACTTTTAGATTATCTGCAAATTTCAATATCTCCCACAGCCACAGGCAGGAAAATTAGTGATACTGTTTTGATGGCAAGCAGTCCAGTACTTCAATGGACCTGTGATCTTAATGATGGGGACATACTCTAATGATCCTAACTGTAATGCAGCCATGTTTGACCATCCTGTATGATTCCTGTTCATTTTCTTTTGTAAATCTGACACCCAACATGTCAGGTGGACCTTCCTCTCAATCTCTTAAAAATGAACAGATATCAAGGAGCACAGGGATTATCAGTCATCCTTCAAAATCAATCAACAAACATTTGTTAAGCCTTTACTATGTGTTAAGCACTGTGCTAAGCACTGAAGATACAGAAAAAGGCAAAAGACAGTCCTTGCCCTCAAAGAGCTTACAATGTAACCAACCTCTGTGATGTGACTAAACTATCTTCTTTTCTAGTCACACGTTTCTCTAATGGTATTCTTTTTTTGTTTCCCCAATAAGAGTCTTTTACTTTAATACTCAGCATGGATTAGGATTTCATTTTAATCTGAACAATGTATCTTAATCAAGATAGGGCAGTAAATCATATGTACTCTCACGTGCAATGGTATATAGATTATGGTGCATTAGATGGTCAAAACCTATATTACTTGGTTTAAGTTAGGAATGATTATACGCTGCTATAAACTATTAATATTGAATGGTGCCCAGAGAAGCTGACTATAGATATATTAGGCTAGCCTAACATTTCTTGAGAATTCCAATAGTCTCACTGTTAATAAACAACTCCTTACATTTGTAAAGTGCCTTATAGTTTATAAAGCACTTTCACATACATTATCTCATGTAATGAGAATAAGACGAGATAGGGATATGCTAAATCAGTGTTTATGAAACTGAGAAATGTGACCTCTGTGAAAATCACAGTACACAAGAGTGACACGCGGATTACAGCTACATCACTCTAAATACTTGTTTGATGGTAGGAATAGGACCTACGGTCCCAGGAGGCATAAAGTTAAGCTATTTTTAAACTTTATCTTCTTCACCATCCACAGCCAGTTAATCATCAAAGCTTGCCACAATTCATCCTCTGCTGTAATTCTTGGGCCTACTCTTCTCCCTTATTCCCATAATTCTATACTGGCCTCTAAATTTCTCAATTTCTGGTTAGTGTGGCTCAAATGATTCACGGTGACAGTAGTTAAATGATACCAGAGCAAACTGAAAAGAACCCTTAAGATCGTCATTATGAGGTTTTGACTGAAAAGAGAACTAGAAACCATTGTAAATTTTTGAGAAAGGTGACAGGATCAAAATTTTACTTTTGGATAATTATTTTTGTTCTTAATGAGGTAAATTCAAAAGAGAGTATCTTCAGGCTTTCAATAAAGTTAGTTAATATGATAATGTGTAAGTTCAAATATGAGAAATTTGGGGTCTGATGAGGGATTGTAGGAACAGAGAGAAAAGAGGAAGAACTAGTAGGCTTTGGTGATATGAATGGTAAAGATCGTGGAGAAATTGAAGATGACTAACAAAGACTTAGCTGACAGTGACTGAGAAACTGGAAAGTGGTTAAGAGTAGAGGAAAGGATAGTGAGTTCAATCTCAGATGGAGCTTTAGACATTAGTAGCTATCCAAATAGAGATTACCTACAGAGAATAAGGAGAAAATACTGAGACCAGGCTAGAGATGATGATTTGGGAGCAGCTAGTAATTTAAACTATGAGAAAGTATAGGATACTTGAAGTATTAAGAGGGGCATAAATGACACCAAGGAATAGCCTTGGGGGACTTTCCCAGGTAGGTAGGAGAGGAAGAAGAGGAACTAACAAAGACAACTAACTGAGGGTGCTGAGTAGTAAGAGAAGGGGCAAAAAAATCAATGTAATGTGTCAAGAAGCCTCTCTTGACTGTCAAGGAAGAGAGTGGAATGTCAAAGACAGAGAAGTGAGAAGACAGAAAACGAATTTTGTAAAGAGAAGTCACTAGATGCCTCAGCAGAAACTATTTCTGTGGAGAGATAAGAAAGGAAATCAGAGTTTAGGTACATAAGAAATGATGAAATGGAGGAAGCCCATCAAAGAAGAACTGTATGTGTTTAGAGCAGAGGGAAATGAACCCAAGGTTCAACATCACAGAATACACAGAAATGTAAAAGAGATAATTTTATTGCAAAATTAATAATACAAGAATAGCTAGTATGTATATAGTGCTTAAGCACTGTGCTAAGTACTTTATAAATATCTCATTTAATCTTCACAAGAACCTTGGGAGGTAGATACTAATATTATCTCCATTTTACAGTTAAGGAAACTAAGGAAGGCAGAGGCTAAGTGACTTGCCCAGGGTCACACAACTAGTTTCTGAGGCCACATTTGAACTCAGGTCTTCCTGACTACAAGCCCAGCACTCTGTCTGCTGTACCACCTATCTGCTTAGTAATCAAGAATGATCAAGGTATAAAACAAAGACCAGAAAAGGCAGGATATACGTCATATACAGTGTCACAAAAAGAGGTGAGAAATGCAGATAAAAAGGAGTTCCAGGCAAACAACTACATGAAATTTACCTGAAGAGACCGAGATAAAAATTCAAAATCAAGGATTTGTATAGTTTTTTCCCTGTCATCAACCTAAAGCCACAACTCTCTTAAATCTTCTTCATCTGCCAAATGAAGGGAGTCATTCAGGGAAGTTATCTCCTCTATTTAATCAGAAGGTTAATAAAAAGTATCAAGAAGATTATGCTCTATGTTTCCCAAAGTAGAAGGGGTCAACTTAAGAATAAACAGTTCTAAAAAGAACTGCAAACTACAAACAACCTGAAATATTGCTCCAGATCAATAATAACAAAAGAAAAATGCCAATTAAAAGAACTTTTAGATTTTACCTCACACTCGGAAAATTGAGAAAGAAAAAAAAACTGAAATAACCAAAGTTATATAGGAACTTCAGGAAGTCAAGCACAGTAATATACTACTGGTCAGCTGTGAACTAGTACCACCAGTTTGGTTAGCACTTGGGAATTATGCTAAGAAGGTGAGTGTAATGTCCATACTGGACACAAAGTAGATGCCTATTAATTATGGAATGGCTAAACAAATGTGGAATATCAACATAACAGGATATTATTGTAAGAAATGATCAAGGTATTGTACTTCAATGGAGAAACATGGCAAACTCATTACATGAACTAATGTAGAATGAAGTCAAAAGAACCAGGAAAATAATATACACAATAACAAACATATATGTGAACAGAGCCAAAAATAATAATAATAATAATATAACATATGAAATTATAATATGCAAACTTGGCCCCAAAGAAGAGATGAGAAAATGTACCTGCATCCCTTATTTGAAGGGTAAGAGAGTATGGGTATTACATGTTGTATATACTGTCAGATTCAGCTGATAATGTTAGGCAAGCTTTGCTGAATGTTTTTTACCACTTTTTCTTTTTAATTCTTTGCTATAAGGGATTGTTTGCTGAGTTGTCAAGGAGGGAAGAATATATTCAAAAACGAGGGCCAAAAGCTATCAATGAAAAATTTAAATTAATTTTTAAAAAAGTTTATGACTTGACTTTTCCTGGTCCAAAGTGGAGGTGAGCATAAGACAAATTGGCAAGATGGGAAGAAAATGGTCATTAAAAAAAATAGTCATAACATTAAACCAGGTTCTTGTGCTTTTCATCTCACCTTATAGCACCTGTATTTATAAAGTACCACCAACAGGATGGTCATAACCACAATAACACTGATCATGATGGCAGCATTCAAAATGGAGTGCAGTGCTCTCTGCCCTACAGTTTCTGTGTCTTCAGTGAATGGAGTATAAATTCTAAAAGAAAACAAAATACAACAAAAGTCCACTGCTATGTCAGAGCATATCCCAAGTCATAATTCTGTATCTTCCTCCCCCCACAATGCAAAAAGAGACTATAATTTTTCCCAATTAATTTTAAAAATTAACTTTTTTCCAACTCATCTATTCTAGTGATTTTTTTAAAAGCACTGTATTTACTGAGCAAAGGTGTATATATACCTTTGCTATGATTTCAAGCAAAGTATTGGCTCCATCTAGTGGATACTCTATAGGAAGCTATCTAAGTCAAATGATCTTCATTCACTATTTGCTGATACATAAAACAAAGAAATAGATTTACATTATGAACAAGCTAAGGATGATGAAATGGTTTGTAATTCTTGACTTTTGCCTCTAAAAAAAAAAAAGGACTTGACTTCATGAAGACTGAAAATTAAACTGAATACTGAGATAATATCACATGGCACCAGAGATCCTCTTTACTTGGCAATAAAGGATCATCTATAGTAGAGGTTCTCAAGTTTTATTCCTTGTTTACTTATTTCCTTCATAGGATCATCCTTTCAAGTCACCTCCTCCAACACCTCCCACAAGAAAACAAAGTTTGATCTTGCAGTGACCAATGTCAACAAAAATGTTTTCAAGATTTCCAATACAGCCCCCTTTCCCTCTCAAAACACTTCTTCAACTGGGATCCAAAAACCCCTTCCTCTTGCCAAGAAAGAATTTGCTTTTGAGAATCAGAGGAAGACTCTATAATCAAGGCACCTTTATTACAAGAGGCCTCTAAAAGTGATAATGGAGTCTGTAAAAAGCCTCCCCGTTTTAGAAAATAATAAACATATCATACATACAATTGTCCATCCTTCCGGGTATAAAAGCTGACAGATTTGATGGTGGCCACAACCACAACCATGCAGAGTGTGACTGGTACAAACAGCATGATCACATGTTTGGCACCATACTTTAAAGTCAACTCTTCATCTTCTTCATCATCATGTTCCACCACCTGCCTTGTGCCACCCTGGGGTTGTCCATTGGTCTCTGACTCAGGGTTACCATGCCGCCGCCTTTCGCTATGTTCGTGGCGCTGTCTTTCCCGGCCATCGTTCTGGAAAACACAAACAATCCTTTTTCAGTAAAACACATTCTTAGTAAAATTAGGCCTGAAGCTAGAAGAACTGGTGCTAACAAAATCATTATAACAAGCATCAATGATGAGAAAAATCTGATTAAGAGGCAGTTTGGAGTTTAAAAAAAAAAGTCCTGCCAAACTAGATTATGCACTCTTCTTCAAATGTGTTGTTGCCTTTCTTCTCCATATCTCTGCTCATGCCATTCTTATGGCCAAATATGCTCCGCACCCCCATTCTTGCCTACTGAAATCCTCATTTTTTAACCTACATTTTACCTTCAACTTCTACAACATTTTTTTTAAAGGCAATTGGGGTTAAGTGACTTGCCCAGGGTCACACAGCTAGTTAAGTGTCAAGTGTTTGATCTGAGGCTGGCATTTGAACTCAGGTTGTCCTGACTTCAGGGCCAGTGCTCTATCCACTGCGCCACCTAGCTGCCCCGAACATTTTGTTTATATTACTCTCAACGTGGGTATTATATAACACAGTACAAAACTTAGCTGTATTGTAGTACAATGCAGCTTTAATGGTGCCGTGCCCATAGCAAGTACTCCAGTGTTTTGTGAATTGATGAATAACATATCCAGGATATGTAATACATATAATTCATAACATATTCAGGAATTATCAAACGGGCATTTTGGCTTATGATGAAAATCAGCCAGCACTTTAAGCTTATATTAGACCAGTAGGCTTTTAAACATCATCTGTGCTCCTTTCTCCCCTTATACATTTCTTTCTAATTTGGGTAACACTTGGTTGCTATTGTAAATACTGAGAATTTTAGCAATAATATTAATAAATACTAGCTAGCACTTAATAGGGGAAGCTAGGTGGCTCAGTGGATAGAACACTGGGTTTGGAAAAAGGAAGATTCATCTATTTGAGTTCAAATCTGGCCTCAGACACGTACCAGCTGTGTGACTCTAGGCAATTCACCTAACCCTGTCTGCCTCAGTTTCCTCATCTATAAAATGAGCTGGAGAAGGAAATGGCAAACCACTACATATCTTAACCAAGAAAACCCCAAATGGGGTCACAATGAGTCAGACATGACAAAAAAAAATAACTGAACAACAACAAACAACAATAGCACTTTAAGGTTTACAAAATGCTTTACAAATGCTATATGTTATCTCTTTTGATCTTCACAACAACCCTGGAAAGGAGGTACTATTTACTCCATTTTACAGATGAGGAAACTGAGGTATACAGGTAAGAGGTTAAGTGACTTGCCCAAAGTCACAAAGATAGTAAGTGTCAGAGACAGGTCTTCCTGATGTTAGATGGAGTGCTCTATCCACTGTGCCACCCAGCTCCAACTTATTGTCTGCTAGCACCCCCTTCTCAGGATTACCTACAATATAATAAGGACCTGGAGTAGACCTTTAATGCTATAGTATTAAGGACAAATATTTCTAAAAAAGTTTTGTAGCGTAATGTTTTGGAAACAAGCAAACAGAAGAGGGCTGTATAATGGATATTAACAGTTTTGCTTAACAGTTTTGCTTTTAGAGAATATGAGATAATATCCATAATAAAAGTTAACATATCATAGTTCCTTAATAAAAATGCCTTATTTACATTATTTCATTTGAACCTCACAACAACCTGTAAGAGAGGTACCACTATCTTCCTCATTTTATAGATGAGGAAGCTGAGGCAAATAGAGGATAAGTGACTTGCCCAAGGTCACAGAGCTAGTAAGGATCTAGGGAAGAATTTGAATTTATAGCTTCCTGACTTTAGAGTTTGGGTAACTAGTCCTGTTCCTCTTTTCCCACACTTCAAACACTGTTCTTTCCAGCTTTGGTTTGAGAAACAAACAGGGGAGGAATTATCTTGAATTGAGTCATGCTTGCTAACTCCTTGGAAATACACTAAGCCATTCTTCTAATTTCCCGTCAGAAATATTAACATAGGCTGCTCTTCCATGACTAGTGAGGGATTATATATGGCAGATTATTAAGGCAGCTAGGTGGTATAGTGAACAAAGCAGGAGACTTGAAGAAAAAGGCAAAGAGATAGTTTTCTAAATAAGTATCTCTCCTATCAATCTTTTAGCACAACCCTCTTCTCCGAAAACTACTTCAGGGATCTAGGATGGGGAAAGACTTGTTGAGTTTACTTTTTCTTTTTTTAACTTTTCTCTCCTATTCAATCATATATTCCCATACAATTTGACCCCCAGACTTCCTTTTGGTCACTTTTCTAAACCTTTTCTCACCTTGGAAAATTGAAATTTACCAACTGGCTACCTCTGCAGAGTGACTATGGTTGGCAAGGAAGAGAACCTGTCAAAGCAACAATATGGCATTCTAGGGCAACTATTGTCCCTGAGAAGTGGCAAAACCAAACCAAACCAATATCCCCCACCCAAAGAAAAACCATTTCTCTCTTTGTTTCACCTCAACGAGAATACTGTTTGAATGAGCCCTGAAAAGTCAAGAACACTTATCTTCTTTTTGATTTTTTTCTTTATTATTTATTATTCTTATCCTATTTATCTTGTACTAAGAAGTGCGCTGGTAGATATTTAAAAACTGGATCTCCAAGGTGGACAAAAATGTACTCATGATGTGCTTTTAAGTTTAAATGGCTTTATTAACATTTTCTCCATCACTTAATGAAATCTAATCAATCAACAAAGCAACTATGCAGCCCTGAAGTGCAGTGTTTGCCAATTTCTGAGGTGTAAATGCTCACCTTGAAAATTTAACAATGAGCTCGTGGTATGAGCTGGCTCCAGCACCCCCTGCTGATCCTCCTCTTCCTTACCAATGTCTTATCGAAGAAATCTTTACTACATACAAGACGCTGCTCCTGATCACCCTGTCTGCCAGACAGTCTACTTCCTCTCATGACCTTTTCCCCCTTTACAATCTCCATCTTAAATTTTTAGTATGAACCTGTCACAAACCTGATAATTTCTGAAGTTAGTCAAATAAAAGAAATACTACCTTTCTGTTCTTAACAAAAGCACATTAAGTCCTGAAGTAAATGACTGGGGACAAGGGAAAGTTGCAGTCACCTGTGGTCAAGTTATAAACTACGACATAGGGAAAGGTGGATGTTGCTATATGACACTCATGGGATGAAAATAATTGAGAACTAAAAGTGCCAATGATTTTAGACCAAATACTGTATTGCTAGAGTGACTGTTTCAGAGGCAAAAATTGAGAACAGAAGTTAAAGGTAAGAAATGACTCATTTCTGGTGACTTCAAGATTAGAAGGAATGATTCTCCCTATATTATAGTAATGATATCACCTCAAAAAGGGAGGGGACATTTGAGGAATGATTAAGGCCTACTGGCAAGTGTGTTTATGATTATGTCAGGATTCCCAGAGCCCAAGGTTTTAGTCATTTTCCTTCTGAAAGATGACAATTCACTTTTGCTGTCTCCTTCCCCTGACTCCCTTTCTCCCTGTTGCAGGGAGCGACAGAGTAGAAGATAGGGGACAAGATCCCAATGCCCTCATGCTGTGAGAAGCAGAAATCATATGAAAACTACATTGTAACTGATGATTTTAGATGAAGTTTTATTTATTTGATTCTGTCCCCTCATCACCAAAAACTTGCTCCATCCTACCCTATCATTCCCTATTTTCAATCCTTATCCACTGGCTCCCTCCCTGCTGCTTAGAAACACACCCCATTGCAATCCTTTAAAAACAAACAAAAAAACCCCACAACGTTCACTTGGTGCTCTTCCCCTCTAGCTATTTGTATTCATCTTCACTTCACAGACTCCTAGAAAAAGCCACATACCCACATTGCTTCCACTTTTTCAACTCCCACTCCTCAATCCCCTTGTAAACTGACTTTAGCACTTGACTAAAATCCTCTCCTGTTCTCGGCAGCATCTGACACTACTGGTCACCCTTTCCCCACCCCACCCCAAATCCACCCCAAATATTCTGTTCTCCTTGGGTTTTCTTAATTACTCTTTCCGAGTTCTCCTCTTAACTATCAAAATAAGAACCTTCTGTCTTCTACTGGATTAACATCCACGTCCCAACCCTTATATGTAGATATACCCCACAGCTCTGTCTTCAGCACACATGTGAGCTCTTCAATGGTCTCCCTCTCCCATCTCTTTATAATAATTTCATTAGCTTCTATCTCTGCACTATTATCCATATGCAGATAATTCCCATATTTACACATCCCTCCCTCATTTCTCTTGAGCACCTGTGCCACATCACTAATTGCAGTTACCTTCACCCAGATGTCCATTAGGCACCTCTAACTTAAAACATCTAAAACAGAACTCAAAATCTTTTTCTGTACTCCCCACCCTTCCAATTCCTTATTTCTGACAATAGCACTACTGTACTTCCAATAAGTCACCCAGGTTCTCAACTTTGGACCCATCCTTGACTCCTTACTCTTCTTCATCCTACACGTCAGTAGCAAAGTTTTGTCAATTGTATCTCCAACACATCTCTAGCATCTGTCCCTCTTTACCATGTGTGCTCAGGACAGGGCTCGGACTGTCCTGGTTCAAGCCTTCAACATTTCTCCCTTGGGCAAAGCAATAACCTAAGCTGTCTCTCTGCCTCAAGTCTCTCCTCTTTCCAAACCATTCTCTATTTCTTTACAAACTGATCACCCTAAAATACAGGGCTGACATTGTCACTACCCTAATCAAGAGGTTTCATTGCTTCCCTATTGCCTCTAACATAAAATACAAACTCCTCTGTTTGGCATTTAAAGGCCTTCAAAATTTGGCTCCAATCTATAGTGGAGTGGAAAAAGTACTGCTTCTGGAGTAAGAGGACCTGATTTTAAACCCTACCTCTCAAGCTTCACCTCCAGGGCCTTAGTTTCTTCAACTGTGAAGGGGAAGAGTTAGATCAGGAGGCCTCTGAGGAGCGTTGCAATTCTAGGTCCATGAGCCTATCTTCCAAACTGATTTTACATCCTTCCTCCTTCACACACTCTAGCCTCCAACTACAAGGTTCCCTATCAC